TCCTTAAAGTTGCGGCCTGGAATGCTGTCAACCAACCAAGTTACTCGATTCTCATGGCCAGACTCGCAATTTATGGCAGGTACCGCAACTCATGCTGAATGCGATTTTCGTGGACCTCCGCGGAATTCAAACAGCTTTGCTTTATTTTTGAAAAGGCCACACATATTGAGGGACCATCTTGTGTGTGTCGCACGTAGACGGACTGTCAGTTGCCGCAACGGAACCCACATTTGGTCGCCTTAAACGTGCTTTGTTACCGGCACATGGTGGATGTGGTGCATGTGCGTTGAAATTGTGTCTACAAGATAAGATAACTCACGTTCAAGCCACCGTCTGGCGCCTAGCATGCTGCTGAGCAGACATCTCGGTTAGGACATTTTAATCTATAGAAGACCTCGACTGTCCCAGAATTGAATTCTGAACTCAAAAAGGCAAAATCGAAGTCCTGAAGGATTGTGCAACAATTATTTTATTCGCTGTATTCATGCTCAAACGGTCTTCTTCAGCATGCGTTGGTGCTAATTCTTGCCACTAATGTCTGAGAAGGAAAGAGAGGTATCGAAAAAATGCCCTTCGTATTCTAAGCAAAGCAGTATACCCCGTCTAACTGACTCCTTAATGACATCCTCACAAGCTTTACATTTTAGGTTTGCCTATTGTATTTACTCGTAACATTCGTCATTGCAATACACATTGCGATTATTTATTGCATCCATCAACAAGATCAAAATAGATCCATAAAAAGAAAGGAAATGGACCTTCTGAGCATCCGTGTTTCGGGAAAGCCTATTCTACGTTTTTGCATTCAAGATCTCACCTGATCTTTGACTGGTGTGACTGCGCCCTTCTCGCGCCAGTCCATGCTGTCAGGAAGTTTTCTAGCGATGGGGATGAACGTAGCCGACAGACTGTTTGACAGGTTTTCAGGCGTTCTCCGCAGACAGAGGTATCTGTCGGCAAATTCACGCGGTGTGAGGTCACTGAAGGCATTCACTCGACATTTATACGTTTCCCGACCACGGTAAAATTTTGCATTATGTCGAAGGATAAACTCGAAATTGTCGAGGAAAACTTCTTGTCGGAACTGTTCTTCGTCGAAACTGGCATACTCCTTTTTGTAGTCCTTCTTCCAGGTATGCCAGAATGTTTTCATTAAAAATGTCTCCCCAGTGGTCCATCCCGCACAATGAGACAGGAGTGGTAGAAAGCAAGCGAAGAACAATGAAGCATGCATGATGCCGGTGACAACCTTAGATTCATACCGCAGGAACAGGTATTGTTTTATACTATTCTACAGACGTGGTTCTCTTAAACCCAAATATCTAGAACCAATGCGAGGGCGTCTTAGGTGCGGTTGAACTACTAAACGACCGGCGAAAGCGTAAACCATCTTAGCGCCTATGAACGTGCCAAAAAAGCGTTCATCCTGACACTTCATGAGTGTAAAACAGTCTGCAGATACAGCGCATGCCTAATTTGGAAGACTGAAGCGTGTTCGAAGTCAGTTGGTTGGACTGTAGCCAATTTACTGTCATTGTCATGCATCAATAACTGACATTTGTGTCCGGACCTGTCAGCCTCTGCACTTGACCCGCCTCCAATCTACTTTTCTTTGTCTTGACACTGGACTCAGCATGTTTTGGAGCATACAATTTACATTTTCGAAGTTAACTGTTGAATTTATGGAATTCCGAATTACCAAATGTAAGGTGTCAGATTTCCCCCGTCTTGCGGCCGAAATAGTTCTGACTAGTGATGACAAATAAACCAGAACTGGTTATTCTGTGCTGCGCAGGTTTTATCGTTGATAGTATCTGACTAGTCATAAAACCTCCTCAACCGACCACTTGCAGGAGCTTTGCAGAATGCTGTCAGGATTTTAGATATCAGTTAGCTGACCGGCTGAGGCAGTGGCTTTAGCCAAGGAATAGGAATGTACACTGTAATGTTGTCACTTCAGCACATTTCCCTAAGTCAAACACCCGTCTTAGTGGCTAGAAGTTATCACAGTGCTCTAGACTCCGTGGGTTGGAAGGCTACCAACTGTTGAGATAAGTAGGACTGCATAGTCAGCCCAGTGTTGGTTTTGAAAAGTGGCCGATTGACGAACCCAGAGACAGGCTGCAACGGCTCCTTCTTATTGTGGCCTCTATGACCATCCCACTTAGTGAGATCCAATCGAGGCATGGCAGCCGACCTAGGAGCCGTACCGGTCGTGCCGGTCACCTGTGCCTTTTACACCTCCGATCTTCTTGAACAAGTTATGAATACGTGCCTGTTTAGGAAGGGGAAAGAGGGTGCGTTAGATGCAACGCAAGCCAACTAACAACGTTGGACTGTGGTCCATCTGATCAAATCTGCACAGGGAAGTAACGCGTCAATTCGGACAATGAGTGTTATGTAGGATCTTTGCCTTCCTTTCTTTATGTAGCGGTTCAGCAGTACACACCAGGCTTTGCTTCAGATACATGGGATGAATAATACTGTGTTTAGTCTCTGAAATATATTACGAGCATTGTAAATGGAGAACGGAATAGAACTTTCTAGCTTAATAGTAATCGTTAATTAGCCATACCCCATACCAGATGTTACGAAACCCGCGCTCGAATTAGCCACCTGATTGTTAAACGTCCGACATTTTGACCACTGCTCCACGGGTTTGTAGCCCCGTCGGTTCTGGCCAGGAATATGCCTGGCTGATGACGGCTAATAAGCCAGAAATAATCATTCCAGTCTCCCTTGTCTTTGGCGGTAATGGAATTCTGTCTGTAACACGATAACCGTTGAATGGCTACTGGCAGTGCTCAAGAATGAAACTCAGTGCGCGTCGGGTGCGAATCGGTCCC